TGTAACAGGGCCTTTTGGGGAGCAGTGAAGAACTGTGGGCGGGGAGGAGGGGAGGAAAGAGAAGGAGTATTTCATGGCTGCACAGTGGTACACAACAGCAAGCTATTACTTTCCCTTTAGGGCTTCTCATATATTTCAAGGCACTGTGTGTTGTTTGGTTGTTAGCATTCTTGGCCACACTGGCACCGCATTGTACACAGTCTGAGTAATTCAGCCGGCTTCAATAATGCCATCTATATTTAATGTTTCAGAAGCTGCGAAGATTGGTTTAAGATGGTAATTTTCTGTCTGCACTTTTGAGATCTACGCAATATGGGCGGTGCTGAACTGTCTCTGACAGAGATTCAGCATTGGGGGTGGGAATGTGTGAAAAAAACAAAATAAAACACACACACCCTTCCCCCCCATATAAAGAAATTAGTTACCTGCTTATGTACGGGGAGGATTTGGTCCTCATGAATCTTAACACTGGAGAGTGATATTTACCATTTCTATACAGAGCAGCTCCAGAGCTGCTGCTGGAAACAAGCAATCTGTCTTGCATTTTTTTTGTCTAAAATGCAGTGATTGATCTCTAGAGAGACGACCTGTAGGTTAATTCTTTCTCCTTTCCTGTCTCCTCTCTGGAAATGCCAGTAAGAGGATATCAGTGACGTCTACCGGCCTGATCTGGACCTACTCCACAGCTTCATCTCTTAGGGGTCAACCTACATTTTGGTTGCACGTAGACCAGCTGAGCTTCCAGCCTGGTGCTGGTGGAGCTCTGGGCTGTGCAGGTGTCTCTCTCCAGGATCCTCAGAGCTGCGACGAGCACCGTGAGATGCTTTTCTGCTTCCTGACACTGGGATTTTGGCTCGGGGAAAAGACCCTTGCATAACTTGCAGGGGACCCTCAGAGACCCAAAGAATTGCACATTGAGGACCACTGGAAGAGAGCAGAAGAATGAGCCAGGTATTTCCTGGCTGTGTAACCAAGAAGTCACTCCTTTGCCTGAGGGAACTGGGTAACCGCTGTCTGAATACCATGGCTGTGCCACAAAGTTGGGGACATCAGGGCTTAAAGGAAATGGCCAGAGAGGTGAGAGGAGATTGAAGGAAAGGACACTTTGATAGCTGCGCTGGCAGTAGCCGTGAGACAAGCCAGCAGGATATAACACGTGGGAAGCAGGATAGCAAATGCTGCGTGGGTGGGTGGGCACGGGGGGAAGCTCTGGCACAAAGGCTGGGTGAGATGGCAAAGTAGGTGGAACACTATCAGACAGCACAAACATTAAGACCAAGAACCATTTTTTATTTTAATTGATCGTGGCATATACTTGCAAGCAATCTGAAGGGCAGAAGAAATGTCTATAGGATCAATTTTTAATAAGCGCATTTATGTGAAAACCAAAATAATTCTGAATAATTAAATACCATCATCTTGGCATCATTCATCACAATCTTTATGGCGAGGCTGTCTGTTTATAAGCAGGCATGACAGCAGTCCCTGTTATGAAACTTACCTCATTCCTGCCAGTTTAAGATCCTCTTCCCGTTTGCTTCTAATTTTGCCAAACATCACGTGTTTGTGCTGAAATTTTTCACCCTGTTCGTCTGTCTTAGGCTGATATTTTTTTCAGTCAAATCTATTTCTTCATTTTCCAAAATGAGTCTAGAAGGGAAAAATGTGCTGTTTGGCAGGTATAACTCCTTGTTACAACTTCTTGGTGGTGGCACCAACCACTCATGAAAAAGAAATTTCAGAAGCTGACCCATGCAAAATTAGCAGGTTCTGCAGCTTTTTGAGATAAATACGAGGGAGAGAAAAAGAAAGAGGTTAAACCCCCAGGGGATGGCTACAAGGTTTAAACAATTCTGTCATCTTTGGGGATTGGATAGGAAGGTCACAGTTCTGTGAATGAAAAACCTTATGTGTGACTGGGAATATGGTACCTTAGTTACAGATACTCTGTTTTCCACCCCCATGAAAATAGGCCCCATTTGCTGTCTTTGAAAATATAAGCCTATGCGCACACAGTAAGCCTGCAGTAGTTGACAGTTTAACTTAAGTCAAATTAAGACTGCTGGAATGTTTTATCTCATATCAAGTGCTTTGCAGGTCATACTGCAACCAGAATGCACACTTTCTTACCGCGGGGAAACTGAGCACGTTGGATATTTTCCTGGGATTCCTGTTCCTGGCTGGTCCAGAGCCAAGTACAAAGTTGCAGAACAGGGAGCATCTCTCGTGCTCTCAGGGAGCGTCTTCTACACAGCTTCCCCCCATGCTCGGACAGTTTTGGAAAAAATTGCCTCAAACACAAAGTCAGGATCAAAGGAAGAGGGATATAATTAGACTAAATCACAGTGGGAGATGTGAAAATAATACAGTGGAAGTCTGTGAGCTGATCTGTGGTATGTAAAACTTGGCCATGGAAGAACCATGGGGAGAGGGTGGGTATGATGAAGAAGGAGATTTCAGTTCTGGTGGAAGTGTAGTAAGTTCAACACATAAGTGGAACTTGGTTTCCCATTTGTAACAGTCATTCGGTAGTGAAAAGGCTTTCCAGGGGCAGAGATGAACTGAAAACTCACTTGGGGTCTTCCAAATGGGAGTTTATATGGTTCAGAAGGATGGGCTCTAGGGTTTCTCCCAGAACCTGGAGTAAAATCTCTGAACCAGGACGAAGGTGCAGTCTGGATGGCGGTGATGTTCTCCTTGGGTATGCATGGCTATTCACTCCCTTCAGAGGCTGTGGAGCAAACAAGATCTCTTGTGAGTTCCTCCTCAGACTCCCTAGTACTCATAGCACCGTGTTGAGATGATGATAATCAAATCCCATGCTTCAAGGTTTCAGCGGATTGCCTGGAGACAGAAAGGAGGGCTTCCCTCCCCCAGTGCCTAATTGGCTAGCTCCATTCCTGGCTTTGTGTGAGGATCGTTTCATTCGTTTTGGCTCTTCCCTTTGAATCGTCAGAGGCTGGCCACACGGGTGAGACATATCTGCTCAGGGAAGACTCTGAGATGTGGGGCAAAGACTCCTTTCTCTTAACAGCCCTTGCCATGTTCAGGTGTGTGAGGTCAAACAGGTTGCAGCTGGGAAGGAGAGGACATTTGACCAGCCCCTATTAGGTGACACATCCGCTTACCAAACCTCAGGTGTCTCAGCTAGTGACCCTCAAAAGGGTTTATGCTAACTTTCTGGTGCCTTGTATGCTCTGCTTCTCTTCCGAGGATTGGAGTCCCTTCTTTCTAAATTGCACACATCAGCTAGAGCTATCCTGGGTGAAGCTCAATGGTCTGTAACGACAGGAGGTTACATGAGGTGACCAAATGGTGCCTTCTGGGCTAAAAAGTTATCAAATGTCTGGAAAGGTATAACAGTGCTAAGGACCTGAATGGGTATCAGTGTGTGACATATGACAGTATACACAAATTCAGTGTATCTTCTGAAAATGTAGGGGGTAGTACCCAACAGGCAAGATGAACACAGGCCTGAGGTGGCAGTCCGTCCCTTGTCAGGAAATGCTGAAGTGGAGCTTCCCACGCAAAAGTTGGTTGGGCAACAGCCTCAGTGGAAGAGACCTTGTCATTTCATGTAAAATCTTGAGATTTGAAATGCTCTTGTGCTGTGGTAGAGTGAACACACATACCTGAATGTCTCTCGAAGGCTCCCAGGGAGCAGTCCAGGTGGCAAGATCCATCAAAAAGCTACCCCAGCTGGACTGTAGAGCGTGTGAGAGATAATCAGACATATACCCACATGTATTTTTACTTCGGTGGCTGAATTAATCCATCATACTGGTGTTCACTTACAACAGAAATACACTACCAATAACTCCATCAGTCCCTGAAATGTCATCTGTTTCCAAGCAGCTCTGAAAACAATACTGGTGCCAAGTCCTTTGATGCCTGGGACTTCCAGCGCAGTGGAAGAAGGCCAGGGACTATTTCTAGGTTTGCTATCTGTAACTTACCAAGATGCTGAACATCGGTTTGAGTCAGAGTTTCTGGTCCTGAGCACAAACATAAACTAAGCTTTAGATGCTTAGACACATGGTTACATCAGTAACGCAGGTTAGTAAAGCAATTCCTCGTGCAAGCAGTTCTTAAAAAGGAGTGTGCTTACAAGCAATATGTTGCCCCAGCAAATCATAGTTTCCTTTCTCGATCATTAAGGGAAAGCACCATAAACTCCTTTTTAATCTCGCGTTTGTCTCCTTTTGCTCTTCAGCAGTGTCTAACGTTCATTGCATCAATACAAAAATATATAATTATTTCAGAGTTAATTAAATCTACTGACCTGCTCTTGACAGTCACCATAAATCCATGCAGAACCTAAAGCTAGCCAAGACCAGGGGACGCGGGCTTTTAAAGGTGTCCCTACATCCCAGAATTCTCTTCATAAAAATAGGTTTTGGTCATAGGTTTTTGTTTTGACAGTTCAGATCAACAGTCTTCCTGGCTGATACATTGATTGTAGGGTGTCAGTCTTCCTGATCTAATAAAATATCACAGCACAAGGGAAAGAAAGGAAGCTTTTGTCTTCTTGGCAACTCAGTGTGAAAGCTTTCCAGAATATTGCTTTGCATAGAATGAAAATGGCTGTGGGCCAATGACTAATTATATTAAAGGGCTGAGCTTTTAAATTATTTATGTACCATAGTGTTTACCCTAGTATTATTAAAACCACCGCATATACTTCTACAAATAAGATTTTGGTTCAGATGAATGTGACAGTCGTTCTGTGGGTGATATACTGTACCAGGAGTTTCTACTTTAATGTAACAAATAGCTTAACACACATTAACAGATGCATTACTCGTGGAGCACTGCTGCAGAAGGAGAGGCAGATGAAAATAATTTACCTCTGGTCCATTTAGACGCAGTAGATTATGCAACAATAATAAATGTAGGAGCAGACTGCAAAGCATTGTTTGAAATGAGGATTTATCAAACTGAGGATTTAAAACCGCTTTGGATCCGACAATGCTAACCAGAAACTTCTTTGGTTTGTGCAGCAATTGCTGAGCATACAGGAAGAATTAAATAACAAAAAATCCGAACTGGAGCAAGCCAAGGAAGAGCAAACACATACACAAGCGATGCTTAAAGTCCTGCAGGAACAGGTGAGTGTTTCTGGTGGGATTAAAATGCCGGCTGAGGCATGCGAAGGGGACGGAGGACTCGTGGCTTCACCTCCAGTATCCATAGGAGTCTGACCACAGAATATGCTGTGAGCAAGACATAACCTTATGTGGCCTGTGTGTCTGCTCTGATTAGCATTTGTGAACGCAGCTGAGGCTAACACGAGAGTTTGAGAAAACAGAGTGAAAAGGGACCCTTATTTTATACTGTCCAAGAATGAATTTCATGTCTTGAGTAACATTTCCTCTTATGTTATTCTACATAGATATCAGTGATGTGTGTTTTCGCTCTGAATTAAAAAAAAAATATTGGGAGGGTGAAATATACCTGAAACAAAACAGCTCTTTTAAGACTAGTATTGAAAAAAAAAAAGAGCTTGGCATCTCCTGTGTTATTCATGCAGATGTGAGTATACAAGGAAGTTTATCATAATGGCATTAAAAAAGTAGTTATCAATGCACTTATTTAAGCAGTGAGAAGCAAACATCTGTAAAACTGCTTATCACGCCTTCCTTGATAATAAGGTGTTCTATGACACTGAGAAGGACATGTGATAGTATTGTTTTATAAGCATGGTAAGATGGATAGTTACAAAGCAAAAAGAAAACCTGGTGCTAAATCTGTAAATCTGGAGATAAAACAGTGCATCGTGCGCAAGCACAGTGTGCATAAATAAATGTTGTCTGTACAGACCACGTGGCTTGGAGACACTGAAATCACAAATCCCCACCTGTGCTGCACAGGCACAGTCTCTGCTTTGAGACCTTATTTCAGTCCTTTCTATATAAACTTTGAGCTGAAATATTTAGTGGCTTGGTTAAGCGTTTGCAGTTTAAAGACTGTGGGATCTGAATTGCTTAGAGGCAGAGACTCAAAATACTGATGATTCTTATGGTCAAGATTTTTCAGCATGTATGTCTGAATATGTTTGAACACAGGTTTATACATTTAATGTTCATATTGGGAAAAGTAAATTATGCTTATTTCAGATGTTTTAAATTATCATTATGAAAGCTGTGGCATTGTTTCACATTTAGCATTTGTCTTTGAAATATCTAGTAACAAATATATTCTAGAAACTAATAATTGAGATTCTGGACTTAGCACTTTTGGTTACAGAGATAACCTTCTAAATGAGAGATGATGCAAGAGTGTATTATACAAAACACCATGAGGAAGAATGGATTTGATAATGGCAGAATCTTTATAAACACAGAATCCACTGGATCTCTTGAGTTAATTGCATCTCATTTCCATTTTTACATGGCAGTCATGGTATAGCCTTATAAAATACTTAGAAAAAAAATGAAATTGCATGAAGTTATTTTACGTCTTGGTAACAATTAAATGCTGCAAAAACATATAAGAAGATCTTACAATGCTAGGCCCCAGTAGGGACCACCAGGGCAGACTTTTGAATCTCTGCAGACTCCTCCTAATTGCAAATCAAATGTGCACTCATGCTAGGCAGACAGACGAAACAGTAGCTGGAAGAAAGGCAGGATGGATCTGCATTTCTTTGGAGAATTAGCTCTGAAACATGCCTAAGGCCAAGACTGTAAGTAGCTGGAATTCCTAAGGAGTGCTACGCAGCCAGTGTGCTTCTCCAACAAAGCTGAACGAGTTCCAAAACTTTCCAGAACAGCAGAAGCCCTAGCAGTAATGACCCCCACTTGCCAAGGCTCACAGTTTTCTTCTACAAGCACCAGAGCTCATCTGTGTGTTTCATCCACAACGGCTATTGAAAATCATCTGGCAGGGTCAATACGAACATTTCTTTCAAAAACAAATAGCACCGGGCTCCCGCCTTGATTGCATGGCTTTTCTTTGTGATACGTTTGCTGAAATCTGCCTTTTCATCTCAAGCTGGCGGAGGGCTCCTACCTTGCCCCACCAGGGACGTCTTTGCACGGAGACGTGCGGCCGTGTCCGAGCACGTCTGCTGGCTCAGCACATCTCCCACCCATCCACTTGCCTCAACCCAGCCGCGTCCAGGCTGGGACACCCTACTGGGAGAAGT